TATAATGATGTCATCAAAAGGAGTTACAGAAAGAACACTGAGGCGGCAAACATACATTGTTTCCTTACATCCGCAGGCCAGTAATCCTGGCCTCCGGAAAGAAGATACAAAGCCAAACTGAAACCTTTCACAAGCACTTTCACAAGCTGCAAGCACCTTGATTTGCATCCCAAAGACCAGCCTGGCTAGAGCTTGGAATCTACATTTCCAAAAAAGCAGTCTCATCCAAGCTACTCAGGACACACAGAAAACTGCTTCTAGGACGTGTTTCTCCTCTCCTTGTCCAACCAACATATAAGCATACATAATATTAATCATTTTGTATGGACACAGTAAGAAATACTTTGGGCTTATAGAATTGCTCTCCTAGGGCCATCTCGATCTCAGACTGCAGTGCTCAGGCCAGATATCTTTCCTATTCCTAGCAGCAGGGCCCTAGTCTCGTCGTTACTTTTGGATCATGACATCATTTGCCTATGATCAAACTCTTAACTTATAGTTAAGAATCGTGGCACCTTGGCCTGGCCCATCGCGATGCCAGGGTAGCACATAACTTACCGGCTTGCCCTGGTTCCATCCAGTCCCACGTCGGGACCCTGCCCTTGGAGTGCTAGGAAGTGAGGGCAACTGAGGCTTAAGTTGAGAAGGCAGATGCCCAGGAGTGAATAATATTCAAAGCCAATCAATTCCTAAGTTATAAAGCATAATATTAATTAATTGTCTTCCTGTATCCATACAAAAGGACATTGCATTAAGGTAAACTGCTCAAAAGACATAAGGAGAGGAGAAAGACAATATTAACTTACAGTACAGCTTCAGTGTCTAAGAAGGATGAGACCTTACAAATTGGTTGGGGAAGAGAGCATAGAAGAGGTTACAGACAGACAAAGTAATGGGAGTGACTCGGGAGCACTGTGATGGGTACAATCTGATAAACCTAAGCTCCGTGTACTCCAACACAACCTCACCAAAAAACAGGGAGAGGAAATAAACAGGAATTTTCTTAAAAAAGAAATACAAATGGCCAAAAGGCATATGAAAAAATATTCTACATTTCTAATCACCAGGGAGATGCAAATCAAAACAACATTGAGATATCATCTCACATCACAAAGACTGGCACACATCAAAAAGAACAAGAACAATCCGTGCTGGTGCAGATGCAGGGAGAAAGGGACTCTAATTCATTGTTGGTGAGAATGCTGACTGGTTGAGCCTTTTTGGAAAACCGTGTGGGCATTCCTCAAAAAACTAGAAATTGAACTTCCATATGACCTAGCAATGTGACTAGGAATAAATCCGAGGGACCGAAAAACACACATCATAAATGCCATCCACACTTCTGTGTTCATTGCAGCACAATTCATAGTAGCCAAATTTTGGACACAGTGAAAATGCCTCCAAATTTCGGAAACAGTGTAAATGCCTGAGTACAGATGACTGGATACAGAAGCTATGGTGCCTCTACACAGTGGAATGCTATGCAGCCACCAGGAAAAATAGTCATGAAATTTGCTTATAAATGGATGGACATAGTGAGTATCATGCTGAGTAAAATGAGTCAGAGAGGAACAGGCATAGAATGATTGCACTCATTGTGGGATATAAAAAAAACACATACTCAAGGACAGTAGAAACAAGAGTAAAGAGGATGAGTCCATGGTTGGAAGCTTGACACAAGTGGTGGAGATGGGGACTGAGGGAAGGCCACTGGGACTGAGGGAAGGCCATTGAGGTTAGAGCAGGGACCATTATGATAGTGATAGTTGGAAATGATCACTCTGGACAAGAACTGAGTGCTGAAAGTAGCTAAACAAACAAGCATGATAACCTTACAGCATCTGCAGTCCGTATCATAATGAAAAAAGGAAAGTGAGGGATTGGGGAGTGACAGAAGGAGGGAGGGAGGGCTGGAGGAATGGAGAGAGGGAGAATGCTCATGTCATTTTAATAAAAAATCATAATTTAAAGAGAAAACATTGAGGCGTGAGAGAGATAATACAGGGGTAGAGGGTGGGGAAGGTGCTTACTTCATATGTGGCTACCCATGGTTCAATTCCCTGCACTACATGGTCCTCTGAGTATGCTAGGGTTCAGGACTGAATGTTCCCAAGAACCCTGACTGTGGTTCTGAAGGCCTGGAGCACCCTCAGGATGACCTTGGAAACCCCCAGTCCACAGGGCGTGATCTACACTGCATTAAAAGACCCTTCTGCCGAGCCCCCAGCCCATCTGATTGAGACCTCCTGAACACTATTTGAAAGACAACTTCCTCTTCTTTCCCTAAATAAAACAAATAAAAGTCATATGAGAAAGGAAGGACCTCTGAATAAAACTTTGCCACCGGATCATAGATCTAATTTTTTTGGGGGGGCGGGCAGGGACTTGGGACTAGCCACATCCAGCAGTGCTCAGGGCTTACTCCTCATTCTGTTCAGGCATCATTCCTGGCAGTGCTTGGGGAACCAAATGGGGTCCTGAGGATTAAGCTCAAGTTGGTTGCATGCAAGGCAAATGAATTTAAAAAAAGAAAGTTTTAAATTAAAAGTTCATTTAATTTAAAAAAGAAACTTACTTGTATTTACATTTGGGAGTTGGTGATTGAATCCCAGGCCTCATGCTAAAAGACATATGCTCTGCCTCTGAGTCATATACCTGATCCCAAAATCTTATATTTTCAAAAAGCTGCAACGATTGTATCATGGCACATGCAAAACTAGAAGCAAATAGCCGAATTCATTTCATTTGCTCGAGTGGGACAAGTAACGTCTCCATTGGAGACTTTGTTGTTACTGTGTTTGGCATATCGAATACTCTCGGTAGCTTGCTGGGCTCTCCGAGAGGGGTGGAGGAATCGAACTCGGGTCGGCCATGTTGGCCGCTTGTAAGGTGAATGCCCTACCGCTGTGTCGAATTCATTTCATAGAAAGGAAAAAATATACCCAAATGGTTATTGAAATTTAGTATAAGCTAACGATTGCAGTCAAGTCAGTGAGGAAAAAAATTGTTTGATTCAATGACAGGTATAAAGTCTCTTGCGGGGATGATGTCACCAGCAGGTCAACCCGTACCTGTGAGGTGAGTGCATCAGCAGTCAGATGATGCCTTCATGCTTCCTGATACCCCAAAATTCCCTTTGTGCCTTTGGCCTGACCCCAAAAACTTGGGACCAAGTTTACCAAGAATTTAAACTGCCAAAAGTTAGGTATGTGGGAGACACACCCACAAATCACCTCTGGCTCAGCTATATGAGCTCAACAAAGGCAGGGGAAAGGTTGGAATAGGGGTTGGGGGGGGCAGTAATACTAGGAATTTTGGTGGTGGAAAATGTGCACTGGTGAAGGGATGGGTGTTTGATGATTGTATGACTGAAACTCAAAAATGAAAGGCTTTGTAACTGTATCTCATGATGAATCAATAAAAGGGGGGAAATAGTAACACAATAATAAAATAAAATTAATATTCAGAATAGAATTTTTAAAAAAAAGTAATGTGGAGATTGGCCACCGTGCAGATCCCACACTGCTTCTCCTGAAAGGGAGCATAACATGAGGCTCCCATAACCATGCCACTGGACTCTGCACCAGGATGTTTCACATGGGGAGCCCCAGAGGGGTGCGAGGGACCCAGCCCCAGCAGCCAAAAACCTCGACAACCCAACCATCACCAAGCTCAAGGCCGCTCCCCAAATGCTCAGACTGAGCCTCACATATGAGAAAACATATTCCTGGACCGCACAGCCACATGACACATCATAAAACACTCCCTACCCATTCTCCATGATTACCACACCACATTGATGGGATTCAGATAGTAGACAATAAATCATAGAGGGAAATATATATATGCATATATACATATTTTCAGATAATATATACCAAAGCTCACATCACCCAAGCTTTAACATGTTAGTGATATCCTATAGAATGTTTTAATGGCTCCTGTCAAAATAGAACAATTTTCTCACTGTTTTCTATATGAACACTTTTTTGTAAGCATATTCAGCAGTTCTTCATAACAGACAATATGAAATATATTATTTCGGTTGTTTTTTGGGACAGGTATTGGGGCTTGGGACGGAAACATCCCAGATTTGGTGGTGGGAAGGTGTAATGGTGGTGGGATTGGTGTTTGAATATTGAATGTAATCGAACATTGTGAACTAACTTATAAAATTAAAAAAAAATAATGTGGAGTTCATGCCCGGTTCAATCAGCTTAATCAATGGCTGAATAAATAGCAGTGCTCCTACATTAAAAAAAGTCACTGATCATTTGGTTAAAAACAAAATTAGAACACTCCCCAGCTTTCCAAGAATATGAAGCTCAGTTATAAGTCACTGTCACTGTCACGGTCCTCCCATTGTTTATCGATTTGCTCGAGCAAGCCCAGTAATGTCTCCATTGTGACAATTGCTACTGTGTTTGGCATATCGACTACATCATGGGTAGCTTGCCAGGCTTTGTTGTGCAGGCGAGATACTCTCAGTAGCTTGCTGGGCTCTCCTAGAGGGGCAGAGGAATCGAACTTGGGTCGGCCATGTTGGCCCCTTGCAAGGCAAACGCCCTACCCACTGTGCTTTCGCTCCAGCCCCAGTTATAAGTAATTATTTTATTTATTTATTTTTGAAAAACAGTGTAGCATTTAGCATTTACTGATCCTTCTTTTAGGTGACTTAAAGCTACCAGGACACAGGCCCCACCCACATTCTTTATCTTCTCCTCAGATCTTCTGCTGAAGAATTTGACTTTCATGATGACAGGCTGCCTCAGGAGCTTTCCCTTCCTGAGAACTTTGTAGTAGTCCGATCGTACCACATCAATGATAGGAGCTGCTCCAGTCTTGTTTTTAGCAGCACTAACTCGTGTCTGCTCACTGACCAAGGTCTACAGTTTGTCAAGATGGACAGTTGGGCAGACGCTTTGATTTCTCTTTAAGTGATAATGCCTCATACCCACTTTCCCAAAGTAACCCCCTAAGGGACTGTAGGTCAATCTGGCACATGTCACTAACCCGGTGAGCAACTATGCCATGAGGGCCACAGTCAGTGAATAAGGTCAGCAGTTACTCTTTGAGAACGCTAGCACACTAAGGCAACAGGATACCTAAAGATGACTCTAGTCTTGAGCATAAGTAAATACTTAATTGTGAAAAACCTGACTATAAATAATTACAAGAGAATGGAGTGGTTAATTCTGTGGTAATATTTTAAAAAATAAATAAAAAACAACTAAAGAACAGAGAGACAATGCAGGGGTTAAGTCACTTGCCTTCCGTGCTCTGATCCCAGTTAGATTACTGGATTTGTCCCTGGCACTGTGTCGAACGCCATCAGGAACGATCCCTGAGCTCTACTGGGTGTGGCCCAAAATAAAAAGAAAAAAGGTAAAAAAGCAAAACTATATATAAAACTATAAATGTATGTTATTAAAAATATACATATATCTTTGTGTACATTCAGATATGATTTTTGTATGACAAAATAACAAAATAGTAAAAATCATGCCATCTTATAAAGAAATTGAAGTTGAATGCCAACAATTTCCTAGACTTCCTATCAAGTTGATGGTGATTTGGAATAATGATAAAAGCTAGGTCAGCAAGGATTGTGGGTAGATAGACTTTATCTCTCTAGCAAAAGTATGTGCTTATATACTATTTGTAGAAGATGATTGAAAATTTGTCTATGTTACCAGGTAGTTTCACATCTGAAAATTCTAAGAAAAGACCCAGGGTGTACTCCAAAATACATATATAAAATTTTTTTCTTTTTCATTTCTTTTTGGTTTTTGGGCCATACCCAGCTGTGCTCAGGAATCACTCTGTCAGAGCCCAGGGACCACATGGAGTGCCCCAGATCAAATCTGGGTTGGCCATCACTAAGGCAAGCAGCCTTCTTGCTGTATCTCTCCAGCCCCACAAAAAATATTTTTTTTTGAAAAAATGGTGAAAACGAATGACTTTGTAAAAACTATTTGTCTTTTGTTACAAAAGAAATTTGTAAAACCAAATGAGTCTTTGTAAAAAACAATTTGGTCTATATGGTGTTATTACCAAGAATGATAAAAGGTATATACATTGAAATATATTATTTAGTGAGAAAAATATCAAAAACCACTTTCGGATGCCTTTAAAATAGAGAGAGGGACCAGAAAAATAGTATAACGATTAAGGTACTTATCTTGCATGCCCTGACCCTGGTTTGATCCCAAACACCACATATGGTCCCCCCAAGCACTGCCAAGAGTCACTCAAGTCCAAAGCTCGGTGTGGCCCACTTCTCCCTTCCCCCCACTCCATAGTCAAAATAAGAAAATAGCCAGTATTAAACAAAGAGGAAACCCTTGGCTTTGGATTACAAAATATAATATAAACAGTGAGGAGACAGTAGGGGGAAGAAGATTAGATCAGAATTGACATATGGACAAGGATGGAGGGTCCTGGGCACTTTTGTGTTGGTGTTGTGCAATAACTTTGTATAATGCACGCTACATACTTAAACATTATTGTGACCATTTTATCAAAACACTATTAATTTGTATGTCAAAAATATAGACCAACACATTAAAAGTGCTATTTCTGGATAGTAGAATAATAGGTAATCAAAATAAAAATATTAATTTTTGTACTACTCTGTAATCTAAGTTTTTACATTAAAACTTCATAGAAATTATAGAAAAACAATGAATTAAAAATGAAAGAATTTAACTCTTACATATTACATAAATCAGAATTTTTATAGATGTGCTTTAATGGAGGGGTAATTTTTAAAAATAAAACATAATTCACATAGTTCATTCAATCCCCCAGCTATCATCCTGTTACTGATTCCCACTGATTCCACAGTGTCAGACGGAGACTGCCCTTCCCCTGCACTGATGTATGATTTGATCTACTTCCTTGATTTTCAACATTCTTGAAAACATTCCTGTTTTGTCTGTGACTAACAGTTTCCCTTTGTCCTGACCTTCGCACTCCCTCCATCTGATGCCTGCCCTATGGTCCATTTTGTTTGAAGATGCTGCCCTTCAGAGACTAACAATGGATAGTTATGACTGCTCGAAATAATATTTACAAAGAGTTAAAGAAAAGTATTTTTTATCTCCAAATATTGTTGGTTGAGGGAGATTAGGAATCTCAATCTGATGTCCGAGCTCAATTAAACTCTCTAAAGAAATATCTAATTTATGCTTAGTTATGGAGATTGCATTGGAAGAAGGGAGGAGGAGGAGACCTGGCTCTCTATACTTCCAAGATGAAGATGTTCAGTAGGGCATTTGAAGAGTCTCATTGAGAATTCAGCTTGCTTGCAAATGACTCCCTCTCTCATTCAAAGAGGGGGCTCTGGTTGGGTCCATGTGGTGGAATTTCTTTACTAAGCAAAAGTTCAGGCCAACTAGCTTCAGATGAATTGACTTTGTATTTAGCCACAGTGTGGATTTCTATATGAGCAACTTATCCATTTCAATGATGGAAAATGAGATGGTGTTAGTGATGCTGTGATTGCAGTTTCTCTTTTCATTCTTGATTTCACTGGGTGAGTGTTCCCTGAAATTCCCCCTTGGCATAGACCATCAAAATGGAACTCTGGCTCTCTTTACTGGAGTTGGTCTCTGAGTTGGCATTCACCCAAACCAGGAGTAGACTGCAGGACACTTATTGAGAATTACTTCGTTTCTTGATTGCACAGCTGATCCATAGCTTACAATGTCTTCACCACACCACATGGCTCTGTCACAAAGTCTTATTTCTCCTTTACTTCTTGCACAACTTCTTTTCCTCATGCAAGGTCACTCTCTTCTATGTGTTCCTGTGTAGAATTTAATGAAGCTTCCAAAGTTCAAAGACTTCAATTTGGCCATTCCTCTCCCATCCAGTTCTTTTGCTAATGGCACTGATAATATTGCCATGTTTGTTTAATACATATTTGCTACTTTTATGATAGGGAAAAGCTTTTGCATTTTATTTCTAAAATAAAATTATTTGATATTTTTCCTTATTCTTTAGTTTTTAGGACCACTGTCTTAAAAATTTTCCACTGAATGTTTTTCATTAATGAAGAGGACTTAGGAGAATAGAATGTATTTTAGGAAGAATTTCAGGAGTCAATCAGAGCTTGCTATCTTCCTACAGTCCTATCTAGACCCATTTTCTCTTGATGCAGTTACAAACACTGGCACCAAACAGGTCATTTTTTCCACTCTCTCTCCCAGAAAAGATCAGGAAGTGCAATAAAGTTCATGAAAATTTAAGCTTGAAGTTTAGAAAACTCAAAACAACCCAAACCCTCAAACATTCAGTTGGTTTGAATCTTGGACACAGGTTTGCTATGCAGCTAGTGGAGTCATTCCAGTTTAAGGGCTGTAGTAACTTCATTTCAGGATCAGTGATGGGGAAATTATGAAACCATAACTTGGATCTCATCTTAACAAAACCAAGAAACAAAAACACTTACTGGGGAATCTGCACGGAAAGGGGGGCCTACCTAACCCCAACTGCTGTTATTTCACTGTGGCAGCTCCTCTTACTATAGGAATTATGAAACCATTCTCTTCCAATTTCTTCAGAGAGAGCTGACTTTTGAAAGCAATTGAGTTGCCTGCATCCAATTTATAAGCCTCCTGATGTGCACAACAGGGAAAGATCTTTCATAGGTGATTGAATCCAACAGGGTTAAGGCCTGTCAAAGTGATCTCCTTGTGGTCAGCTTTCATTTCAAAAGTTATCCCAGGAGAACAACTGTAGTTTTTTTTTTTAACCTAGTTGACTTCTGAAACACATTTTCCACTTCAAAGAGAGTCCAATAGTTTAGAGCCTATCCTTCTTGGACACCACTTATTTGTTCCAGGGATAGGAACTCAATTTAATGACTATTTCTTGAGTGCCTTCATTATATCTGGCATGGGAGCACATATTCCAGCAAGGGCATACAGCAGAGAATAAAACAAATGACCTTAAAGATCTTAAGGACCAGTTTATAATCAATAACGAAATCATCTTGGATAAAAACAGATACAAGAAACTCACTGTGAGCTAACTTTGAAAACTTCAATTGCATCTAAGCATGGTAGATGATATTACCTCATTGACAGTTGTTCAGTTATCACTGTGGAGAAAAATAATATCAGACTTGGGTTCTGCAGATGTGGAAGGGAACCTGGAGGAGCAATCAAAGAAATGTGCTGGAATTTTGAAGTGGAGCCTCTCAAGGGATTTTTAGAAAGATTTGGACTGCAGAGCACATAAAAATACTGAGACTTTAATGAACTACACATTTTCTTATTTAATTAGAGAGCTTGATTTGTCCCATAGTGGAAATAAATAAACTGACAATAGTCCTGTAAGTAAATAGCATAAATATTCCCTCAACATTCCTTGTTTTTATTTAACTGGCTGTTTCTCTTACTTGGAAATATATTTAGTTAGAGATTTTAGTTGAATTATACTGAGCTTTAATGCCTTTTTAAAAAGAATTTTGTTTCTGCTATTGGAATTGCATTTTGTGATATGTGAACTAATTTATACAAGATCTGATGAGTCACAAACCAATTAGCTATGGTTCATGATATTTGTTGTACGTTAAATTTTTTCCTTTTGCATTTCTGTTAAATATTGTTTGTGATATTATGCTTTAATGATACCAATATCTAAATTCTTTCCTTCTTTATAAAATCATAGGAAACAAATCTATTTCTGAGAACATGAATACAGTAGGTTGTAGGTTAACTTTCCAAAATTTGGAGATTTCCTAGAACTGTTTTCTAGCACTGATAATGATTCTACAATGATAGCAGTTAACAGTGAAACTTAAAACATGAAACTTAAAATTTTGATACTGATTACTTAGCAGAGCTATTAGTGAACTTCAGGAAATGCCCACATTTAGTTGGTGAAAAGTAGAGAAAACAGTGAAGGAACTAGAAAAGATATGAGAGAGTCAATAAAAGAATCAGAATAGGGTAAAATGACAGAAGCCAAATAAGTAGAGTCTTAAGAATGGTAGTGATTTCAGTATCTTATGCTCCAGAGAGACTGTGGAAAAAAAACCACTGATTTCAACAATTAAGGATATTTGGAACCAATTAAGAATAAGTTTTATGGAGAAGAAAATGCAGAGACAAATTGTAG